TGGTTTCCCCCAGACTTTACCCCATGAATATTTGCCCTTTGTTGATTCTGCTCCATATCCTTTCACCAGACTAAATTGTAGCTGTGGGTGCCCATATATGCTGAATCACCTAGTCCCTGCAGATCACTGAACCTAGGGGCTGTCTTGCAGACACCGAACACACAATCCTTCAAGTTGCAGTTCAAATGTGATCTCGCCTATGGAATCTTGCTTCACTCTCTTAGACTACTTTCCATTGCCCCCTGCCTCTGTTCTTGCAATTAAAAAGACAGTTTCTTATTGCATGATCATTCACTGTTAGCATTCTGTGTCTCTTCTAGTGTATAAGCACATTCAAGACAAAGATCTCATCTCTTCATCCTTCTTTTTCAGCACAGGGTTGACACACCCTGGTGGCATTTGCAATGGTGGTTATAGTAAGAGTCAATAACTGCTGTTAACTATGTGCTTGGCATAGCACACTAAGAGTTTACACGTATTACTACATGTAATCCTTCCAACCAGACCTTAAAGTAGCTACTATTATCATCCTCATTTTATTTGTTTTGTTTTGTTGAGTCAGGGTCTCACACCGTCGCCCAGACTGGAGTGCAGCGACATGATCACAGTTCATCACAGCAACCTCGACCTCCTGGGCTCACGTGATCCTCCCGCCTCAGTATCCCAAGTAGCTGGGACTATGGGTATGTACCACCATGCCTAGCTAATTTTCTGATACTATCCTCATTTTTAAAATGAACAAAACAGGAGGGCCATAAGTAGGTGATAAATAAGTGAATGAATCAAGAACATCATTTTAGCCCTTAAGGAATCACTTCACTGAGTCACATTTATTATTACGACTTTAACTCATGCACAATGAATGACCTAAGCACATGCTATGCATGGACTACTGTTGGGTGTTATCCATTATATCACTGGTTTCACTTATTACAAAGTGACTTATTACTACATCACTTGTTTTATTATTATTTTTTACTGGATGAGGTAAGTTTACTGTGCAGTTCAAAAGGTACTAAAAATGTATTGTGAAATGTAACTCTCTCTTCCCCTGCTCCCCAGATACCCTGATTCCCCTCATCTTTTATGTCCCCAGAGAAGATGGACACATATGTTCACACACTTTCATGATGGTAGCATTTTGTACATGCTGTTCTGCAGCTTGCTTTCCTCACCTAACAGAATATCCTGGTGGTCACTTCATAGCTCAGAGAGCCACCTTGTTCTTTCTGAACACCTGCATAGTGTCCCTAATCATGAGGACATGGGGTTGGACACAGCCTCATTATGACAAGTGACTCATAGGACATTTTACACACTCAGAGCAGATCTATATGAGAAAGCCTTAGAAATGGAAAAGCTGAGCCAGCAATATTATTTAATTTTAAAGTAAAAAACCAGAGATATAATTTACATATCATAAGATTTGCTCTTTTAAAGAATACAATTCAATGACTCTTTGCATAGTCACAAAATTGTGAAGCTGTAACTATCTAATCCCAAGACATTTTCATCACCACGAAAAGAAACCCTGTACCTATCAGCAGTCAAGTTATCATTCATTCATTCATTCAGGTCTTGCTAAGTTGCCTAGGTTGGACCCCAATTCCTGGATTCAAGGGATCCTCCTCCCTTGGCCTCTGGAATAGTTGGGACTATAGGCACGTGCCACCATGTCTGTATCAAAATATTTATTTTTAATTCTGACAGGTCTTGTCATATGACTCCATCAAAATTACAATACACATCTTTTTGGCACACTTCTATGAATTTATCTCCCCACAAACATGGGACCTCATGGAGTTCTAGTTGTCTCTCCTTCCTCACCCTCCCTACATATAATAGTGTCTCATTGTTCTTATCCATGAAGGGAAGTCGAAGTTCAGGAAAGAAAATACGATCTTCCCTTGACATCCCGCCATCCTCCCCCACCATTCTGCTGCATCCTGCAAAGAACCTGAGTCCTGCACACTCCCCAAGCTGACAAATACACCAAATGTCCTGCCTGACTTTGACAAGTCCTTCATGGTCTTAGGGACTGCACCCAATCTGCCCAAGTGTACAGTTGCCACCCTAACCTTGACAAGGGCAAACACATTCTAGTGACATCAGTGTTCCTAGTCTAATGTCCTGGCAATCAGAAAATGAAAGAAGGAAGATTTCTCTGTGTCTGTCCTCAAACTCATGCACTGACACCACATGGGTTGTTCTGTCCCTGGACAAAAGTCACCAGTGCTGACAGTGCCAGCCATGGAAAGTCACACATGATGTGCTTTGAATCACACCCCTCCTTCCACCACCTGCCAGCCCCCACTTATCTGGGAGGGCCTCACACCCTAAAAAACAGACTCTGTAAACTGCTACCCAGGGTTTGCTGCTTGGCTTCCAGCCCCACACTGAGAACACAGTCCACCAGGCACCCCTGGGTGTATGATGCTGTCTCCCCCTTCATTCCTTTGACTCACATGTTTTTAGAAACGTCCCGGGGGAAGATAATTAAAACCTGCAAGAAAACCGGCTGGCAGAGAAAAAGAAAATCTTGGTGACTTAGACGCCACATGTTTATGGGTAAGTTGTGTAAGTAACACGACAATAAAAAAGAGGCTCTTATAAATAAATGCCGCATTCTTCAAAGCTGTATATAAACTGCATTCTTTTTAAGGAGGGAGGGAGCCCACTCACACTCACATTCCTTCCTCATCATTTCATTTCCACCGAGGGGAAAGGACTCCTAATTGTACAATTTCCTAGCAGTCTGGGATTTATGGAGCCAATGGTACACACACACACACACACACACACACACACACACACACACACACACACACCTTGGAGTTATGGAGCCAATGGTACACACACACACACACACACACACACATACACACCTTGGGGGCAAGAAGGAAAGCGAGAAAGAAAAGAAGTTAAGGTCCAGGCGAACCTTTAGCACACAGAGTGGGACAATGGGGCAGAAGGCAGGCATATCACCATCTCCCATCGGGGTTTCGGGCTATTCACATTGAGCACACACACTTGAACCCAAAAGACAAAAGCTCTGCCTTCCTCTCCCCATGGTGAGCACTGTCGGAACAGGCTCGAGATTCGGGCAAGGCCCACTCTTCAACTGCTTTGCCAATTGTCAGGTGAAGCAGAGCCATCTGCCTCTCCACGCCTGACACCAGACTCAGGGAACACACATTCCAGAGTGGCCTTCACCGTGAGCCAGCTGCAGGCAGGTACCCGAAGCCCATCCTTGGCCTTGCTGTTATTAAGAGTAATTGGCACGCCACGGAGGGGCGGCTGTGGCACTGTGATTGCTCGGTACGGGGGTCTCCCCAGACCATATGTGCACGCAGCGGTGATAGAAATATTTTCCATATGAGCTTTCCTCTTGCCTGCTCCAGCACTCCAGGCAGAGTGAGGCCGGCCCATTTGTCATTTACTCTACACCATAAAAAATCAACAGGCAAGTTGAGAACTTCAACCACAACTAGAGGGCAATGGTCTGCTTTCAGCTTCCAGCATCACTCACCCACCCAGTTCCTCCTGCTCCCATTCAAGAGCCCAATCCCCCCACAGGCCCAGAAAACATCGACAGAGCAGAGGACACGGGCACTAAGAGGCAAAAAGCCTATAGCCAGTGACCCGTTGCTGCCTGCATAGGAGCTGCAGGACTGTTTGGAATAGAGCAACAAGCCTGCTGAAGCCGCAATAGCCTCAGGGCTGCGGGCGTGGATGCACTCTCATGTTGGCTCTTCTTAGGAAGGGGAAAGTCATCACATCGGGCTTTCAGAGCCTGCTTGGCCCTTGACAAGGCTAACAAAAGGCAAAGCTGTGAAGTGGCCTCGTGGCCTTTGGAGGAGATACATTTTTCACTTGGCTTTTCAAAGAGGAAGATGAATACAGGAGAGAGGCTGTCCTGTCCTCGCTCAGGCATTAGGGTAAGGAGTAAAAGGAGTGGATGAGGGAAATGTGGGCTCACTGGCAGGGGAGCATAGGCACACCAGGGTTCTCCCTCTCTCTGGCTTAAGTGATCATCCCTACCAGTTTCCTTTGCCTGTATCAAAAGCTGGCACTGCCGGGCTCGGCTCAGCCTGTAATCCTGTGCCTTTGGGAGGCTGAGGTGAGTGGATTGCCTGAGCCCGCGGGTTCGAGACCCGCCTGGGCAGCGAGACCTCATCTCTACAATAAAAATAAAAAAATCAGCCGGGTGTGGTAGCGCATGCCTGTAATTCTGGCTACTCGGAAGGCTGAGGCGGAAGGATCGCCGGAGCCCAGCAGGTCGAGGCTGCTGTGGCCGGGAGCAGCCACTGCACTCCAGTCTGGGTGGCTGAGTGAGACTCCAACTCAAAAAGAAAAAAAAAAAAAGCTGGCACTGAGCGGTATCAATGATGTTCAACAATGTACCCAACAATCTTATGCACTGAACTAATAAGAATCAATCATCCTCATGGGCTTAAAACACACCACCCTCTTATGGCAGATCCGGGCACACTCCTAACCCTGTTATATGTCCATGTCCCTCTTCAAACCCATGATAGAAAGTTAAGTACAGATTTTTTTTCCCCCAGCACAACAACACATACAAGAAGAAGTGGCATAAAAACAGGGAAGGAAAGCAATTCCTCTGGCATACATGTTCATTCTGCAACATTGGACACAAAGTCTCAAAGGTAACAGTCCCTGCCGAAACCTGACATGCACATTTTTTTTTCCTGCAGCAGCAGGAGAACCGTGCATGCTGCAGGCATCTGTCAGCAAGGCCAGGCCAACTTCCCAGTGTGGCAGCTGTGCAGACAGGCTCAGAATCTTTTAGAAATCACAGAATTCTTTAAGACTAAGTCTTCCTATAAAAAAGGCAAGACAAGCCTAGAAAAGCAGTCTAAAGAATTACCCTTTGCACACACCATAAAAACCCGGTCCCTGATCCTTCTTGGTAGATAGAGGAGGAAATATAATGCTGACAAAATACAACTTCTGACAAGATATTTTATTTGGCTTACCTCTCCCCCAGGTCTTGCTACCATTGCTGTTTGAACGTGGAGCAATGTTAATATCAGGTAGCTGACAAACATTATTACCAAAGTTAGAACTACCCTGGAGGAGCGCTGGGGCTGCCAAGTGCTAACAGCTAGCAGATGCACTTGCGTCTGGGGACTCCAGCCCTGGGCTTCCGCGAGGCACCGCGCTGGCTTCCCCGGCTCTCCCTCACTGTACTACCCGGCGCTCCGAGCTCAGCCTCTGCTCTGAAGAAAACTGGTAAGCTGATCTCTTCATGTAATAACTTCTCCCGGCTGGGGGAGGGGACAGGAGCCAGCTGGGAGCTGGGGGGCTGCCTTTAACAGAAAGCAGAAAGGGGAGGGACAGAAATGATCAATGTGGAGTTCTGCATCTGGTCTCATTCATGGAAAGGGCTCCAAGGTAAGCACTCCACATGCCGGGGGACAGCCCCTACCTCATCAGCCAAGGCAGGCGGCAGGCAGGGAACTGCAGCAGGATGGGCTCCAGGCTGGGAGCTGGGAGACCCGGGGCCTGCCTAGTCCAGGGTCTGGGGCTGACAAGCTATGTGTGCCTGGGCAAGTTGTTAACCCTCTCTGGGCTGTGCTTGATTTTCTCACTGGTACAATCAAGGGTTGCATGGATGATCTCTGAGTTTCCTTTTAGATCTGATTTGATGGATGTAGAAATCTGCATTATCAAGGGCAACCTCAGAGGGAAGAAGTCACAAGGTGCTGTGTGTCTGTGCACTCATTGTAGACATGTATGTCTGGGAATTGGGGAAGCCACTACAGCCCCCTCTTGCTGCCTCCCTGGGTCACTGTGCCTAACCAAGAGCCCGAGGAATTCTCGCAGATACTGTAAACTAAGAAGTAAGGTGGGAACAAGTGTATCCCAGGTGTTAGAGAGTGCTGGCAAAGTATATTGAAATGTAGGATGGTGTTAAGGAAATTAGAGCCATCTCAGGGTAAACTCAGACTGACCATCAAAGTGGGGGTTGGGAGTACGGGGGTGGTACAGTCCCCTTGAGACACACCTTAAGTGGTCAACCCTTATTCTGAAATGGCAGGAACCATGGCTTAAAATGAGCTGAAAACCCAGCAAGTATTGGATTCTGCCTAAAACAGGCACAAAGCACCATTCTCTGACTCTTGGTGGCCCAGAGGACAGGATGACCGATGGTGTGGTGGGAACAGCTGGGGTACTGGAGTCAGGTGGGCATCCATTCAGACCCCGGGTCTACTTCATTCTGGACCCCAGCAAACCCATCGCCCCTCCTGTGAAATGGGGAAATGCCATCCAATGCTTAAGATGGCTCTCAGCGAGGTCACCTAGGCTCCACATTTGGCATAGTTCCTGGCACACAGCAAGCACCAAAGACATGGCTTTCTCTTTGATCTGAAATAAATATCAGCACTCAGTCCACGAAAGTAAATTAATAAACACTTGAAAAGCCTCAGGTTATGAGCATTTTCCTGCATTAATGAGGAAACTTTAAACCGAACTGCAGTTTGCAGCCATCTCTGAAAATTTATTATCACCAGTCGAATGATGGTTTACTAGCGGGGAGTTTTATTTTTGAGGGGGAGGGACTTTCAGTCCCTTTTTCCAGAGCTGCAAGAGAAAGAAAGTATGGCACAGAGAACATCTCTGGTTAAATAAATAAAGGAATGAATTTCTTCTTTCTCCCTTCTCTTCCTCCTTCTTGTTCATTGTTATTCAACTTTGGGTCTGTCCTGCTACATTAATGAAGGGGTGCAGTCATCTACTCCGTAACCTCACCAGAAATACAGGAATTATTTAAGAAAGCCAAAATTCGTGAAAGACCAGGGGTGTTGTCTAGCCAGGGGCTGGGAAATTTTCTGTAAAGGGCTGGATGGTAAATATTTTTGGTTTTACAGACCATATGGTCTCTGTGGCAGCTACTCAGCTCTGTCACTGTAGCACAAATGTGACCATAGCCAACAAACACATGAATGGGCATGGCTGTGTTCCAATAAAACTTTATTCCTAAAACAGGCAGCATGCCAGATGTGGCAGTGGTATTCCAGTCCCCAGTCTAGACACTTCCCAATCATTCTTCAATCCACTGTGTCTTTTGTTTTGTTTTTATTTTCTATTTTGATTTGGGAGCTACCATGCAGGTTTGTTATATAGAAATATTGCTTGTTGCTGCAATCTTTTGCAAGAGCTATCTCTGTCTACTGCAAGGGCTCTCTGTTGCAAAATTCAGAAGATATGTTTTTTAATACTTATTGTACTTCTCTGCAGTATTACCCATGCCCGCCTTTTTAGAGATATTATGGTAAAATATACACAACATACCATTTACCATTTTAACCATTATCAAGTGTATAATTCAGTGGCATTAAGTACATACAGATGTTGTACAGCCATCACCACAATTCATTTCCAGAACTTTTTCATTTTTCCAAACAGAAACTTATTAAACACAAAATCTCCCTCTCCCCCCTCCTCCCAGCCCCTGGCAACCTATTCATAATAGCCAAACGGTGGGAACAATCAAATGTCTATCAATAGATAAATGAAGAAACAAACTGTGGTATAGCCATACAATGGAATATTGTTCAGCCTTAAAAGGATGCTGCTATGAACATGGGTGTACAACTTATCTGTTTGAACATCTGCTACCAATTCTTTTATAACTATCTAGGAGTGGAATTTCTGGGTCATATGGTAATTCTATGTGCTACTTTTTGAGGAACCATCAAACTGTTTTCCACAGTGGCCATATCATTTTATAGTACTTCCAGCAATGCCCAAAGGTTCAATTTCTCTACATCCTTGTCAACACTTATTATTTTCCACTTTTTTGACAACAGCCATCTTCGTGGGTGTGAAATGAACGTCCTCCTTCTCGACCACTCTCTTGATGGGTATCACTCTCTAGGGTTCCTTTGCTTCGGATTAGCTCTGATTCTTTGAGTGCTATGAGCCCAGTATTATTACAATTAATAAAATAACTTTTTAGATTGTGTCTCATAGACTCTTGACAACAGCCTTATTCAATAAAATAATTTGGCCCATGTCCCACAATAGTAATTCGCAAAGCCAGTATTCTTGTCTTGGCAGCCTGTCTCCACAGCCCAGCTCTTAATGACAGCAGTACCCTGTCACCATTTCTTGGGTATCCTTGCTACATCCAGGGTCTAGTTCCTAAATTCTTATGTTCTGGGTCCCTTCTCTTCTCTGTCTGCCCTTCTTGGCCCATTTGTAATTTCCTTAGCCTCAACCACTCTTTACACACCCGTGACTTTCCACAATTATTGACAGCCAGATCTTCCTCCTGACCTGATGATCCACAATATTTAGATTTCTCAAATGTACCCTGAATGCAACAGGTTAAAACTGAGCTGATGGTCCCCTGAAACCTATTCCTCCTTCTGTCTCTTCATCTCAGTAAGTGACATCATGACCCATATAATTCCCAGAGGTTGAGAACAGGGTGCTATCTTGAGACTTCCCACTCCCTCACTTCCTCATCCAAACCATCATCGGGTCTGATCCGGTTTCCTTCTAGAGATCTCTCCAGCAGGTCTACAGCCCCAGATTCCTGCCACCCCTGCTCCTGCCCAATCCTCCGCTATATCTCCTTGACCTTTTGTAGCAACCCTCTTGCTCTGGTCTTTTCTCCTTCCAGTCTTCTACCCCAGTGCAACTGCCAAGATTCTTCTATAATGTGAGACAAATCATGTCACTCCCCTGATTTTTTTTCTAACTTTTTATTCTGAAATAACTTTATGTTTAAAGAATAGTCTCAAAGACAGCACGGAGTCACAGCACATCTTCACTCAGTTCTTTGAATGTTAACAGCCCAAATACATATGGTACATTTATGAGAAGTAAGAATTTAAGTTACAATAATAGTAACTAAACTATAGACTCAGATTTCCCCTGTTTTTCTCCAAAATGTCCTTTTTCTATTCCAGGACTCAATCCAGGACACCACAGTTACCTTTAGCCATGACGTCTCTTTAGTCTCTCCTGGTCTGTGACAGTTTCTCGGTCTTTCTTTGTTTGTTGACACTTTGAAAGATCACTGGTCAGTAATTTTTTAGATTATCCCTCCATTTGGGTTTGTCTGATTTTTTTTTTCCACCAGTAGACAAGGGTTAATGGGTTTGGGGAAAGAATACCATGGAAGTAGAATGCCCTTCTCACCACATTCCTCAGGGGCACACTATATCAACATGACTTATCACTGATGACATTAACCTTGATCACTTGGCTAAGGTAGTGCCTGCCAGGTCTCTCCACTGTAAAGTCACTTTTTTTCCCCCTTTTCCTTTTTCATATCCTATTCATTAGAAATGAGTCAGTGGAATTAAGCTCTGCTTCCTGGAGGGGAAGTATCAAAGAATATTCAGACATATGCTAAAACCATCACAGCAATTAATAAATATTTGGAAAGAAATACTTTGAGGCTATGCAAATATCTTATTTCACCCACTAATTTTACTCTTCATCTGTAGATCTTTCCTGCAGCAATGATTACTGTAGGGTTCTAATGGCAATTTTCTGTTTCCCCCATGCCCTCTACATTCACTAATCAGAATTCATCTGTCTGGAAGCTTTGTCCCACCTCTCCCATCTCTTTATTAATTCAACCCTTTATTCATACTCCCCTGCTTCTTAAAGTCTTTTGATGGCTGTCCATTAGGGGTGAGTCTAAAGCCCTTCATATGACAATTACAAGACTGTTTGCAGTCTAGCTTTTTCCTGCTCTCCCAGCCTCCTTGTCTTCTGTTCACACACACTCCACTCTCTTGCCAGCCATCTTAAGCCACAAGAAATTGTCCCCCAATACCATATCTCCTTGTGTTCCATGCCTGCTTTCACACTTGTCCCTTTCTCTAGAATGTCATTCTCTCATCCCCACTGAGCTCCCATTGCTATTTGCCGCTGAAAACTCAGCACGAATTATTTATAAACACCAAGTATCGGAAACCACCTAAATACCCATCAATAAGTGCTCATTGAATCATTTGTTACATCCATAAAATGAGATATTCTGTCGCAATTTAAAAAAAAGAAAGAAAAAATTGAGATTGCTTCCTATGTAATGACATGAAACATCTCCGAGATTTATTGTTAAGTAAACAAAGTAAGATGCACAGCAGGGTGATTAATGTCCTATTATTTGCATATATGCATTTGTATATGCATATGCATTAATTATCTGTGGAAAAACACACTTGAGGTTGCCAACAGCAACTGCTTCTCTGGAGGGGACCTGAGTAGCTGCAGGGCAGAAGTGGGAGGG